CAATATACACTTATCATTTATTTACTACAACCTTGTCATGTGAGAGATGGTGGTATCTACCTTCCTTCAAAAACTCATTGATAATTCATAAGCCCATTAACCTATCAAATGGTAGATAATGCATCACGTGCAGTGACTTTATATCGATAAACCTCATCCTTATTAGTATGCGGTGGTTTATCAGATATAAAGACACTGCACGTGACTTATGAATGTTTTTCTCGTATGCTAATTTCTAACGTTCACAAAAACATAATTGTTATGAACACTCTTGACACACGCTTTTCCAAGAATGTTTTTGAAGCCGTTCAAAAAACTCGCAGCACGTGTTTTATCGGGTCAAAAACCACTCGGCTACGCCTTGTGGTTTTAAACCCGATAAAACACTCCTGCTCGTTTTTTAAACATTACATAATACACTGTACAGGTTTCTAATGTAAAGGAATGGGGATCTTATGAGTGGAGATGGTAAAAGTGCATGAAGCAATTTATCACCAGAATGTCTGAAATAACTTATCAACCAAAAGTAAGACAAACTAATTTCATCACAATCGTGGGAGACCCTTCCTAAATCTCTTCTTTCTTAAAATACAGCTTCTGAAACTATCAGAGCAGAAAATGAATGCTGAGGTTTCCAGGTATTTTAATTTGAAAGAATATGTGGTAGATTTATTGATTAGGCTATATATACTTGGCAAGAGAGTTGAATTACAAAGTCAATTACAGCATTGCCGTTAGCATCTAATATTCTACATTTATTTGCTGACCTTGTTGCTGAGCAGGCAATTCAGGGGCTTCCACTTCTGGGATTTCGTTGTGTTCTATTACCTGCATTTCAATTTGTTCTCCTATGGGGAAGGAAATGAAAAAAGGAATGAAGAATGGAAAAAAAGAAGGAAAAGAAACGTATTACACACAGAACCCTAAAGAGGCGTAATGAAGATATTTTGGATGTAATTTACACTAAGAAGCACTATATTTTTACCCTCTTCGTCGTTAGCATGTTCATCTCCATTTCCAATCTTTCCCTGCTGATCATTGTCTGCTTCTTCTATACGAAAAAAAAAACACCAATAGAAAGTTATTGGCCATTGTCAGGTTTATCAAAAAAAAAGCACACTCTACAATTTAGATTTGGATCTTTACCTTATAATTTATGACAGAAGTATAGCCATTTATATTTTGAGAATTGTTTACAAAATTATTTTAAAACTTTGTTGCAAACGGCACCCATTTGTCTCAATGTTTCTAATACATAACTTTAGAGATACTAACTTTGAGAAAATGGAACCGAAATCATGATTTATAATCGCGTCGTTGCCTTCATTAAACTTGATTATTTATTACATTAATCCCATTTTTATTTAGAATCACTCTCTTGATTAGTTTTCTCCTCTACGTCTGCTGCAACTTTACATATTGCCAGTTGCACCTCCGTGGTTCAATAATTTGCTCTTACTCTAAAAAAAATTAAAAGTTTAAACAATTAAAAAAATACATGATTTTTCCACGATTTGACATCAGTTCCAGCCTTTTCCAACTACAAAGCCTTGGGAGTAAAAATGACATAAGTTACCTAGAGAAAACTGGGCTCCTCACACTCAGTTTGATGAACTGTAAAGTTTATTCATTTCAATGTTTGTAATATGATTATTGTTGTCGTGGTATTAAAACTGTACCTTCTTGACTTTGGCCTCTGCTGAAAACAGATCGAGCATTGGACGACAGCTTCCTCAGTTTTGCTTTCAACACAGCCTGCACCTAGACATTCGAAATATATGGGATAGCTTATGTAAGACTTTCAAGTAATGTCTTTAAAAGTCACTATGGTTAAAGTCAACGGTGAAGAAGCTACCAAAATCTGTCCGATCATTTACTTTTTCCATGCTCGTTTTGTATGCCAATCGTTACAACTACAAAATTAAGTTGCCAGTCTGCTCTGACACGAAAGAAACTTTAACATAACAGTAGGTGCTATTCCAAAGTAAGAAAAAAACTGTTACCTGTGGATTGGAAAGCGTATACAGCAATGGGTTGATAGCTGAATTGATCGGCAGAGCGAACACTGCAATCCACACCGCCAGATCACCAGGTGGATCAAATGTTTTCTCGATGTGGGACCGGATGCCAATAGAAATGATTGGCATCCAGCACAAGAAGTCGGTCAGAATAATAAAGAAGACTCTTTTGGCAAGTGCTCTTTCTCTTTTTGCCTGTGTACTTTGTGCTCTTGCTCGTATTTCACGGATGGTTCCATGCCCACCGAGTTCTCTGCTCGACGACCATGATTTCCACAAAATGGCAACATAAGCAACCGTGATGAAGATGAATAGGAAAAAATTCAGAACGATAAAAATAGAGGTGGAGTATTCCCAACCTTCTTCTAATCGCGGGGAGAGTTGCAAGGGCAGGCACACTACATTATTGCCATAATACCTCTCACTGAAATAATGCATTCCGGACAAGGGAAGGAATGCCATAATGCCTCCCACCAGCCAGATAACTGCGCACATTATGCGGGTCTGCCTTGGTGTAATTTTTGCAAAGGTGTAAGGAAACACGATGTTCTTCAGTCTGTCCCATGCAATCAGAGAAATCATCATCACTGACACTTCACTTGAAAAGACAGACATGGCACCATTGAAATGGCAAAACCAACCGGTGCGCCACTCATAGTCATGCAGGTAGTATTCCCCTGACCATTGCAGGTCTTTCACACCTATGATAATAAGGTATATACCCATGATGCCGTCGGATACACCCAGATTCGCCAACATGATAGACTGGACCACATTGTTATCAGGGAAGAAATACTGCCACCCAACTACAAACAAAGATCCTAACAACGACAGAAGACCGACAACCCATAGAGTTCTCCTTGGAGCACGGTTGCGGAACATGGAGTGGCAGCTTGCGAAGTTATCATTGAAGGCATATTCGCAATCAGCATCCTGCCTCAAAAGATCGAGATGGCAGCACATCAGGTTGGTGTCCAATGTTCTAGATTTCAAAAAAAAGAGAATAAAAGAAGAAATAACACTTTATAATTGCGTTATTGAAAGCCATTAAAAATCATTAATCGATTATCATAGACTGTTATTAAAATGATTGTTTGAAGGGGTGATTGAAAGAAGGGATCGTTATCGAGTCTTACACTCTGATGATGTGCGTCAAATGCCTGAAAAAGCCTTTGGGGAGCTCAGCCATCAGGTTGTAATGCATGAACCTGTAATATCAAATAATCATAATAGGAATATTAAGTTGGTTTATATCATAACTGACCTGACAAGAAGAATTTGGTATACTCCAAAAAATGAATCTCCATGAATAGGATTCATCTAGCTAATGTTAATAATCAAATAAAATGTAAAAAAAAAACATAATCATGAACCTTAGCTGAGGATCTTTAATACGGACCCCAGTTTCACATTTTCTCAAATATTTCATAAAATTAATCAGTTAGCCTAAGATAAGTTTCGTCTTACTTTCTTGGAAAAGTTTGATGGCCATTGATTTTGTGGACGTAGTAGCCCATTCAGTTGCGTTCATTCGTTGTATAAAAGCCTATTTCCGGACTCATCCAGGGGTACATTGCTTTGGCATATTTATGTTATCTTCCAAAATTACTATTCACGAGTCTTTTCTTGGACTACAAAAAATCAAAAGAATACTAACCTACATGTTATATCATGCATATATCTGATTTCAATATATGCAACTAAGTTTAGTTGCCTAAATGAACATCTGTCATTTGTAGTGAACTCACAAAAATCGCAGTTCGTGGGCATAGTTGAAAGTCGTGCTGCTAACTTTTTGTATCTTATTGCCGAAGATATTGCTGAAACGAAGAACGTAATATTAACAATTAGCTCCTAAACGGGGGCTTACAGTTGTCATGCCCTTCATCCTAATAAATTTACATGAAGTTTCATTAAAGCTACATAGATCCCTATAATGTTTGTATCCGTTTCTATAATATCCACCTTGGATCACTAAAGGTATGTTATATAAAAAGGCACATTTTTAGTACAACATGAACCAGAACACCATTGCTTCGTTGAGCAAGGTAATTTGCACCACGTCTGTTCTACATCATGCTAAATTTAAGGACTAAAAAATCTCAGATTTTGAGCGCTTATTATATTCATTCTATCACTTCAAATATTCTAGAACGTGTTTGTAAGTGATTAACTGTACTTACAGAGCTTTGAGGCTTTTGACGCCCTTGAAAATTTTGTCAGGCAGAGCGTCGATTTTGTTCTCCGAGAGATATCTTGAACATGCGAAATAGATAATGAATACAAATTGAAATACAGTAACATAAATATGACTGGGTAGGACAACTTTCATTTGAGCGATAACGGAGTTGACATTAAATAATGTTATTGTATACGGTCTGTGATTCAGATCATCATGGAAAAAGGTTTAAACTATAAATGTACTTACAAATCGAATAGCTTTACCAAGCCCTGGAACTGGTCTTCGTGAAGCTTCTCAATTTTGTTGTAGTCCATTTTCCTGAAGAAAACATCATGGGCAGTTTAATCTTTAACTTTGCTGGTTTTTAAGTAACTTCGGTTGTTAAGGCAGAGAATGGCAATGTTTTCCGGTGAAATAGCTCTCAATTTTTAAATCTTAATCTTCAAAGAACACATTAGACATATCTATAATGCCCTCACATTAAGCACCAAAACTCTCAAGTTTATTCCCATGGGCCTCCAACGAGGTCTGTTTTTAAAGCTGAAATTGAAAAATCATGAGTGGTTCATTTCCCGTCACAAATTACAAAATTAGTGACAGGGTAGCTAGTTTGATCCTGCAATACAACAAATTCTTAGATATTATCGCTCGGATAACAAGGAAACAAAAAACCTTACCTTCCAGAAGTAAATTATAATATAAGTTGTCATTAACTAGGAAGTTTTTATAGTCATCAAGTTCTGTTATTTTCAAGAAAATCCTCTAACAATAATTTTTAATCTTTTGTGCCAATGTAAATCTTACTTACAGAAATTCTATTGCTGTAATGTTCCTGAAGATGTACGGTGGTAGATTTCGAAGTTCATTGTTTGACAAATCCCTAAAAATAATTATTACCACAGTTACAAAGAAAATAATAATCGGAGGTTTTTGGTAGAAAATGTTCAGAAAATATCGTTTACTTGTGTAGTTGCTTCCCCTTTTTTCTTCATTTTCCATTAATCCCTGAGACATTTTCGAAGGAAAAAGGTTAACGTTTTAAATTCCAACTCAAGAAGATCATGGCATATTGAGCTAGCTAAGAACGCTATGATGAACAAATTCTGTTAATTCATTCATTTTTTAGAGAAAACAAGAGGTGAAACATATTTCATTAATACAAAATCGAAAACAGGCCAATTAGGAAATATCCTTCCACGACTTTTTTGGGGGGAGAAACCTCTCACCGCAATAAGAAACAAACAAAAAAACCGGCACAAAAAACCGGAAAAGTTTGTATTTAAACAGAAGTTTTTAAACTTTTACACCTCCAAGTACCTTAACACTGCTAACCAAAGCACAACAACTACAAAAAATAACATCCTCTGTTTCAAATGATCAGAGTGACAAATACAAGCTGGAAAACTTCATGATTTTTTTAGCTATGATGGCTGTGCCTTTGTAAACAATGTTTTAAAAATGATCATTTAGTTCTACCCAATGATCTTCTTGGTTAAATAAGTATTTCACTTACAGATGTGTCAGCTTGGAAAGGCTGTTAAAAAGTCCGTCTGGAAGACTCTTCAACTTGTTATTTGACAGATAGCTGATAAGAATGACGAGAAAAGAAAATGAATTGTCTTTAATTATGCAAATGAAAATTTGTAAGTTAAAATACCTGCTGATGCCGGTCATCAAAAACAAACAAAGAGCAGTATATGGTCACAGACATGGATAATGTATCTCATGGTAAGGAGAAAATATCTAGGAGTTCCTTCATTCATTTAGTTTTGTCAATATCTATAACAAAGAGCAATTACAGGCCGCTGACAACTTGAAATTTGCGTGCACACTGAAAAACATAGCCGATTGCTGACTCCCATGTATTAATAAAGAAATCACTGAGCTTGTTATCCAAGAAAATTCCCACATGGTTCAAAACAAAGGAAGATACCCCATGAACACAAATACGACATTCATAACATGCATAAATTTTAGTATTGTGTGTATGATCGTTGTCAAAGAAAATATCAATTCAGTAACAAACACGTAATTCAGGATGGTTCTATTTTAAAATATGTTATTAGTGCAGATGGGAAGATTATAAAATCTTCAATTGGAAAATATTTTCCTTTTAAATGCTTTAATTAGTGAAAGGAAAGAAAAGTATAATACTGGCAGAATCTGTGTAGAAATACACTAGTAATCACAAGCTGTGATTTTACAAAAGAGAGCAAAATTTTAATTAATGCTGGAACACTTTACACGGTTAAGGGGAAAACTTGGTATGAATTAACTTACAGTTCTGTCAGGTTTTGTAGATCTTGGAATAAATCAGGAGGCAATTCAGTGAAGTTGTTGTCTTGCAACCATCTGTATTGAAATTTGATAAAAACATGATCTGTACGTAAAATCTATTTACAGTTATTTACCGCCTTGTTTTATGATCACTGACGGGAAGGGAAGAAAAGAGAAAAGAAAAAAAGGAAATGCAAAAACAAGTATAGACGGGGCGGTAGGAAAGGCGAATACTGCTGCGTTATGGAAAACAGTTTTTCTTTGATGGTTGCATAATTTGATGTGGAACAACCACTCATTATCTCTGACTATACAATACAACGCAATGGGATGCAATGCAATAAGCAAAAATACGATTCAGCATACGGCGATATCAAACACAATAAAAACTTAACCAAACGACTAATGTTCCCAAACTCGGTGCAGTGCCATAAAATCAAAAGGGGGTTTTCTCAGTTCTGAAATTTTAAAACGTGCAATGTACTTTGCGTCAGAAGAGAAAGCCTTTTACGTCTCGTACGACTCTAGTCAGAACCAAGACCGTTTGGCAGCTTTACAGTTTGAATAATTAATTTCAAAACTTTTTTTTAGTGCTGTTTGTTCATCTGTCTCTGTTTTATTTTCACAAGATAATTTAGTAGACCACGATATCTCCTAATCCAGCCAAAGGAATCAATAATTTTTTACCATTCATAATTTTGTTTTTAGGATAAGAAATTCCTTCCACAACAGTATGAATGCATTAACTTACAGTTCCTTTAGCCTTGTCAAGTTTTTGAAGGCACTTCCATTCAATCCTTTCATGTCGTTGTCATTAAGGCGTCTGCGTCATTTACCATATAAAACTGATCAATATTTTTAACATCCAATATAAAATTATCTGTTTAGGTAGGAGTATTACTGAAACCTTTCAGGGCTGTGGTCGAAGACAGTTACGGATGTTTTGAAATGTGAGCAAAAGTTGGCATCAGTCTCACTTAGTAAGGAGTTGTTTGTGCTAACTTCACCCGTAATGCTCATCTT